CGTATTAGTCTGGTGAATTTCCATTGTAAAAACTGTAGTATATCTAACCTGATACATTCCATATCCTCTTCTCGGTATAAATGTTTTTCACAGATTCAAAGTGCAGTTGTATTAGTCTGATAAATTAACATTGCAAACACCGTAGTATACATAAGCTTATACACTCCATATCCTCATCTTGATATAAACGTTTCTTAATGGTTCAAAGTGCAATGCTATTAATCTCGTGAATTTTCTTTGGAGACACTGTAGGATATATAAGCTAATACATTCTGTTCTTGGAACAGGGGACAAGCCGGTTTATTTCTTTCCACATTATGGTGTTATGTAAACAGTCTAATAACACAAGTGGTGGTTTGTTCCTTTATTTTGAATGGATTTCTACTTCGGTTGTTGTATTCTTTATGAACACTGTAGAATATATAAACCGATACCTTCCACATCGTGTTCTCAGAGCAGGGGTCAAGTTGGTTTATTTCTTTGCACATTATGGTGGTACGTAAACAGTCTAATCACACAAGCGGTGGTTTTTTTCCTTTATTTTGAGTGAATTTCTACTTCGTTTGTTGACTGTTAAACAGACACAGAAAATAAATGTTTAATGATTAGCAGTTGAAACTCTCAAGAGAAGTACTTTGAAACTTTGTGAACAATCAAGAAAAAAGGGTTCAATGGCTCATTTTATTTTTAATTTTACAACTTTTCATTATACTTTGATTATTTGTCTAATGGCTGAAAAATAAAATGTGCTGTTAGGGTAGAGGTAATAACAAATAAAATATGAAGTTTTAATAAAAAAGTTTTATATTTACTCAGGAGGTTTTAATGATTACACAAATGAAATTTGAACTTTTTCAGTCAAAAAGTATTTTTAATCTTAACATAATCTTTTGCACTTGTACTAGCAAAAAAAATTGATTTATTCACAGATAAAATTTTAGTAAAATACTTCATTAAAAAACTGTTTGCATACAAATGACTTGTAATGTTTACTAAAACTCTGCCAAATTTTGTGAAGATACGCTTACTGTATTAATAGTTATTGTATGAAAATTGTAACAAGCACAAAATGGTTATGGGATCTGTCCTGGGACCAAGCTCATAGTGAGAGAGTTGAGCTTGTAGTTAAATCTTCAGAGTTAGTACTGTTAAAAAATTGGATTGGAGAATAGTGTGACCATGAATGGGTGATGCTGTTTTTATTTGAAGATTTTTGTTATGAAGATAGTTTTGTGTAAGAAGGTTTCTTGTTTAAATTTATGGTACAGATTCTTGTGGCTTTGTGTATCTTACAGTGTTGTATTTCACAAGCTATAGTTGGTTGAAGGTTGAGATATCCATTTCAGTTGCTTGTTTCTTTATTTTATGATTCTGAAGTTTTATATTAGGTTTTTAGATAGCTTAAATTTAAAAAATGCATTGTTTTTGTATAAAATATCCAGTACAAAAACCAAGGGATAAGTAAATTCATAAGATTTTTCAGCTCTACTAACACTTTTTTAAATGTGAATAAAAAAAAAGGTAAACCTTTCAGTTATTTCAACACCATATGACATATAAGAACTTTCTCATCAGAATACTTAGAAAACTAGGTGTCACACACATTCTAGCATCTGGAAATTAAATATAAACTATTTACCAGTTATAAACCACATGGCACACAAATTAACCCTTTCGAGATGGGTCACATGTGAAAGGCCATGTCATCTCTTTTGTTGACTCGCATTCAAAATTTTTGTACTACTATTTCATTAATTAATGTCAATAAAATTGGTATCAAACTGTAGATAATAATTCAAGTTTTAGTAATATACATTACTTAGTTTATTAATTTAAAAGTAAATATTAAAAAACAGATAAACATTGATTTTTTATGTGTCCTGAGGTATGCTGAATGCAGCACTGGTTCAAATTAGATGTTTGTGAAGTCAAAATACTAAGTCTATGGTTTCATACAAATTAGAAACTCAACTTGCAGATATTGCTCATGTAATAAATCAAACACAGTGGCACCCTGCCCAGCTTTTTCCATTTTTGGAAATGCTCCCTCATGTAAACTTACTTCTATATATGACATGAATAACCAGTTGTAAGCTCTAAATTCCCCTTAGTGGTTTTCTCAGGATTTCTAACACGTTAGCACCATTTCTTTCTTTTGAACCAAGATTTCAATGAGGTAGGTTGTGTCTTTTGTCTGCTTGAAATTTCATATTTTTTTAAGAGTACATTACATCTTAGTTACTAAGCTTGATAAATTATAGTTGAATTCTGTGGTATTGATGAAGTAATTTATGATTTTTTTTTTTTTTTTGTTATTCAAATGTATATATAAAGCGTAAAAATAATTTTTCATATCCTTCATGTGTAATAATGAAAGTCTTCCGGATATTTCTAAAAAAATCCTTAAAACCTCCGGTTTTTATCCGGAGAAACACATTTTTTAAAATTATTTATCGGATTTTGATGTTCCATGCCATAGATAGCGTTTATGCAATCGCTCGGTTTGTTTACATTCGGCGAATGAGTTTGATTTTACGATAAATATATGTCTGATTTATTTTTAGCACTGTTTTAATAATGAATCTATTCAGTTTCATAATAGTGT